AGAATACTGTTTACCGGTATACAATAGGGTGGGTCGATTCCGGACTTTTTTCGATTCGGGATTTCTAATAGTGCGGAAAAGTTGCCTTAGTACTTCCTGATTCCAATGCAACTTTTTGTTTTGAGATTGGTTTGCATCTTCAACCCCAACTCCGGTCTTGAAATTTCGGAAATTCGCCTAAAGTCGTGAAATTGTCTACCTAGCGCCTGAAATACGCATCTCATGGCAAAATGTATAAAGCAAAAGTTATTTGTCACGTCATTTGCTACCGAAATGGATGTGATCATAGCCGTAGGACGAACGGTTCCCGAAAATTGTGAAAATTGTTGCAGCTCTCAGTTAACCTGTATTGGTCACCCAGAACCCACCGCGTGGAAGTGGCTGCTTTTCGGGTTCCTCCCAAGCCAAACCCAACCAACCAACCATATGCCAGGCTTGTTTTAGTCTGACTCTGTGTCAAATTTATTGATAAAACCAGATTTTGTACTAAACTTTGGCACTTGTTGCCTAGATTTCAGTGTAGRGCGTATAAAACGATCACGAGATTGGGGGCCAATAACTTTAGAAGATGCCTCTGTCACCAGTTTGACGGTTCTCTCGACTGCCACGGTGTGAGAGGGGAATTCGCTTAATTTCCATACCTCTGCAGTGTCACCCGACAGCCCTTTTATGAGTTCTTCGTTAGAAACTGAACAAAGAACTGGTGGAACAGTCAAGGTAATAGTCTTCCAGTTAATCGTATCGTAATAATTATTAGCTTTGAAACTCAGCTTTGGCACTTTATTACATCTAACCCTTCAATTTACAGTTTCAGACACTGCTTCTCTGGCTGCCAAAAGACGGTCAAGGGCCAACTTTCTGACTTCTATCCGTTCGTCAGTCATCATACTAAGGAGAATGTTTTCTGGAAGAGCAAAGAAAGCATTCTGTTGAATGGATGAATCGACAACCTTGCGCAGTTTAGCAGGTAAGTACCTCGACCTTTGAATTGCAGCATAGAGTTGGGGCTCGCTTTGATTGAACTGTTGAATCTTATTGGGAACCACAAAGGTGAGTAAACTGTAAGTATATACTTGACCAAAATCTTTATTTCCTTTGTTGGTTTGTCACTAGAAATGTATAATCTCAGAATTACATTTGCACAGGTGAGCCAGCGAGATTTGCACATGTTACCTGGATGCATCGACGCTAAATCTGAGGAGCATTGACCGGAAATAACAGCTTCTGATATTTTATAGAGATAAGCTTGGTCTGTGCTAAGTTGGGTCAGATTAATAACCTCAGAAGGTCATTGGCAGGATGGAAAACTTTCAAATTTGACAACAGGCAACTTCTCACAATCAGGGAGCAGAAAATGTATTTGGACTCTTTGAGACACCATCTATGTGTTCGAAAAGAGGACGAAATGGAAGTTCGTTGAAATGTAGAAGACAAACAACCCACTGTAATGGCCTACCTATTCTTTCCTCTAGTTTCCGAATGATTCCACCTTTCCAACCTGTGTTCGTGTTGGTGCCATCAGCACCGACAACTTCTATATGTTCCACATCAACTGAATTGTCTTTTTAATTGTTGCCATATAGCTATGGAGGTGACGTGGCCAAAGTAATGACAACCAGGTTCCGCTGTAAGAGACAGTGTCGCGGTAGTACTTTTCACCTTCGC